ACTGTAACTATATACTACATCACATTAAGGACATACAGATCACCATAATGTAGAGACTGTAACTATATACTACAGTACATTAAAGACGTACAGCTCACCATAATGTAGATACTCTTTATGATATAGCAATCAGAAGATCTAAGAAGAATGTTATTGATATAAGGATGGGAAGTCGACATTTACAATACAGCCCAACGTGCATTATTTAGCAATATGTACAGTTTTCATTCCTGTGTTATTTGTCCATCGAGAATAAAATCAAACAAGGAATCCACAACTATGATAATGATGTTATGACGCATGAGTTGTCGTAAAATACACATTTACCAAACAGAAGGTGTCAACTTTAAAGCAAGAAAGATTGTCGCGTGCCAAGTTAAAACTTCAGGTGACATAATGTCTTAATAGAGTATCGGTACTTCATTACTTAGTTTCGACAGTAAATAAAACTATTTTGATTATATATGATGAAGAAGTTGAAAAAAACAACAACTAATTATTCAAGTGTTGGTTATTAATTCTTATGGAGTCAATTTACTGACACAATTACATGTAATATGTCTTTCTTGTTTATCACCAAGAATGGTTGACCCTTTAGGCCTAATATAAAGGAGAAGTGAATATTCCAAATATTTTGAAGCATACATTTGTAAAAACCGTTTTTAATTATATTCAGTGATTAATGTGAAGTTAGAAAAATATATTTATCACCATGCTTTCTTTGAACGTTCTAACATCAACTGACAGTGAGGCTGTCAGAAAAATACATTTATAACAAGATTGGTGAGTGTTTAAACGTTATTTTCTTCGATCGTTCTAATGTTCAGGACAATTACAAAATCGTCTATTTCACTTTACTGAAGAAGTAATAAGTAAATTTAGCAATAAGTTATACTATCAGGACGTAATAATAGAAATAATGAATAACTTGTCGAAACTAAACAATTTTTATCAAAATATCGACAAATGTACAATATTTTTAAAAGAAAAAAATGTATAGTTAACTATAATATCCTAAAACACGCTCATAGTCTTAGTAAAACAATGTAATGAGAAGCAAATAGAGGGGATGATGGATTGATGTGAAGAACTCCTGAAAGAGAAACGTCAGTATCAATAAAATAATCAGTTACTTAAATAATGTTTATTCGAGTATGCTAAAAAGTTGATAGAATAAAATCCCGAAGAACACTAACTTTACCAACTAGAACTAACATCTGAGCTCCAGAAATCGAGATTATATTCCCAAAATACTCTGATAGCTAACACTGCTTCGTGAAGATAAGCCTAATATATATATCTGGTTCTAGGTTTAAAAACCGTCGTACCCTTTTTTAACTGCTCTAACTCCACCAATCACCGAAGATCTGTTAAACTTCTTCATGTACTTGTGGATTTCAGGCTTGAACTCCTTGAGTACTGCGTCAGTGTTTCCGTTAGGTATAGTTCCAAAACGAAACGGTGGGTCTGTCAACCGGGGGTTTTTAAGCTAGAATAAAACACTTATTATCATTAAGGAAAACAATAATCTGTTAAATGTTTGGAAAATTTTCAACCTGTACAACAATAGACATACAAGTAACCTTTTCAGTTTCCATACACCTCTAATAATATTGATAATGGGATTTTGTGAAGGTCAAGCCATAGTTGTAGTCTCTTCCTTCCTTCGTCTTTAAAGTACTAGGTGTATTACTGGAAAGTACTGAGTGCAACATTGTAGCACTGGGTCTGTTAACGGAAAGTACTGGGTGCAACATTGTAGCACTGGGTCTATTAACGGAAAGTACTGAGTGCAACATTGATGCACTGAGTGTATTACTGGAAAGTACTGAGTGCAACATTGTAGCACTGGGTCTGTTAACGGAAAGTACTGAGTGCAACATTGATGCACTGGGTGTATTAACGGAAAGTACTGAGTGCAACATTGATGCACTGGGTGTACTACTAGAAAGTACTGAGTGCAACATTGATGCACTGGGTGTATTACTGGAAAGTACTGAGTGCAACATTAATGCACTGGGTGTATTACTGGAAAGTACTGAGTGCAACATTGATGCACTGGGTGTATTACTGGAAAGTACTGAGTGCAACATTGATGCACTGGGTGTATTACTAGAAAGTACTGAGTGCAACATTAATGCACTGGGTGTACTACTGGAAAGTACTGAGTGCAACATTAATGCACTGGGTGTACTACTAGAAAGTACTGAGTGCAACATTGATGCACTAGGTGTACTACTAGAAGGTACTGAGTGAATCATTAATACACTGGGTGTATTACTGGAAAGTACTGAGTGCAACATTGATGCACTGGGTGTATTACTGGAAAGTACTGAGTGCAACATTAATGCACTGGGTGTACTACTAGAAAGTACTGAGTGCAACATTGATGCACTGGGTGTATTACTGGAAATTACTGAGTGCAATATTGATGTGTCAGCATTCCTCTTTCTGGTTTATGAAAACCTCGTTAAACCTGGTTCTAATTCTCAGCATTCCTCATTCTGGGTTATAAAGACTTTTTTAGGCCTTGTTCTAATGGCCAGCATTCCTCTTTCTGGTTTATAAAGACCCCGTTAGGCCTTGTTCTAATGGCCAGCATTCCTCTTTCTGGTTTATGAAAACCTCTTTAAACCTGGTTCTAATTCTCAGCATTCCTCATTCTGGTTTATAAAGACCTCGTTAGGCCTTGTTCTAATAGCCAGCATTCCTCTTTCTGGTTTATAAAGACCTCGTTAGGCCTTGTTCTAATGGCCAGCATTCCTCTTTCTGGTTTATAAAGACCTCGTTAGGCCTTGTTCTAATGGCCAGCATTCTTCTTTCTGGTTTATGGAGACTTAGCGCTGGTTCTGACACAAAGAAATACTTCTAGTTAGAATATCTCATAAGACTTGGTTCTAATAGAAGTTCATTTGATTCATATTTGTAGAAAGGAAGTTAGTTGTTACAACTAAAATAACAGAAATCACAGGACTAACCCTTTTATCATCAATGCCGGACAAATCATAAAACTCTTCCCTGGTGATCATGAAGGCAGCCAAGTTTGCCGTGTATAAAGCCAAGAATACAACGGCAAACATCGCCCACACACTTGACATGAACTTTGCTGTAAATCCTCTGGGGCAGTCAATGTTGACACTAGCGCCAAACAAAATAGCCCACATCAACCAGTAAGTACGAAGCAGGGAGAACTTGTAACCTAAGGAAACAGAAACATGGAATATCTTGATATACTGCTTCGATGACCACTAACATTCCGTATTATACAAGAAACAGAACAATAGATACGTTTTTATTCAGCAAATGTTATCAGTTCAGTCGTTACTCTGGAAATATTAAGAACATGTGACATAAAGTATTTTACTTGCGACAATGCAGCACTAGTCCTAGAAGCTTCAGGCTAAAAAATCATATTGTTTATTTATACAAGTTTAAAGAATTGTTGAACCATTTGTAAAATGTTAAATACGAGCTGATGCATTAATATTTTACAGTAAAAAACCTGTCCCGTCTTTCTTGTCACTTACGGATTACATCATAGTGATAGAGGCCAAGACATCCTTACTCTGTGGATTATATCAGAGTAACAAAGGCCAGATATCCTTACACCGTGGAATACATCACGGTAATAAAGGATATCTTTACATTGTTAATTATATCAGAATAATAAAGGCTAATACATTCTTAAGCTGGATATAGAGTAACAAATATACCTCAGATGAAACAGACTCGGTAGGTTTTTTTTAAGATTGTGTAATCTGAGAAGTGTTTTGGAGCTGGTCTTTGTCAAGCCTAGAAATTTTTGGTAGAGTCAAGATTATTTTAAATTTTACAACGAGAGAAGATCATATATGTTTGATTGGATTATTATAAAGATTTGTTTGAAGAAAAAATAACTTTGATGTTCGAATAACTTACCACTGGGTGGAGCTAATTTCATGTCATATCCAGAGGGACTCATCCATTCAAAGACAAAAACAAACAGTACTGCTAACTGGATACTTACAAGCAGAATTAGCAACCACGATACTGTATCGAACGGCTCTGAAACAGAAGGAAACAAATAATAATAAAATAGCTGCAAACTGAATACTTTAAACCAGCATCAGCAACCAAACGGTTGTGATTTGTTCATGCTCGACTATTTAGTTTTACCTGGATATTGGTATACTTTCCCTTTACTACTTGACTTTATCTGGATCCTGTTTTCTTTTTGGTTGAATACATGACTTTATCTGGATCCTAGTTTGTTTTTTATTGACTACTTGAATTTTATCTAGATCCTGGTTTGTTTTTTATTGACTACTTGAATTTTATCTAGATCCTGGTTTGTTTTTTATTGACTACTTGAATTTTATCTAGATCCTGGTTTGTTTTTTGTTGACTACTTGACTACTTTGTCTGGTTCTTGGTTTGTTGTATTTCTTGAATTCTTCCAAACAATTTCTTATGCTATTCTTTGCTTTAGTAATTTCCTATCTTGAGGACAACCATTTTTGAGTGGTGATAGTAATTTCCTATCTTGAGGACAACCATTTTTGATTGGGTGATAGTAATTTCCTATCTTGAGGACAACCATTTTTGAGTGATGATTATATCTGGTTGCTGCAAGATTTCTTTTGATTAGCTATTTTATAATGCAGGATATTCTTAGCCATCTGTTTACCCAAATATTCACGTAGTTCAGAAATGTTAGTGATAGAGGCAATGGAATCACTAAAATAATTAATGGAATTGTGCAGAGAAAACAAAGTAATAATTAACCCTACGGCACTATGCGCTTCTAATGATTTGTCTGTATTACTTTCATCACGTAACAAGTATCACCAATACCTGTTAGAAACATGCCGTTTTTAGTGTGAAAATAACATATCTAAATAACGGTTTGTAATTTATTTTATCTCAACAACTGCTCACCAAGAAAGGCTTTAGGTGAAATAATGCCGGTTCGTTTGGCGACGGCAATCGTTATTCCCGTATCCAGAAATGGAATAGTGAAGTCGACGGCTGTCTTACGCTCCGAGTTGATCTTGATGCTTGTCACCACCACGTCAGCTCTGCCCGATAAAACTTCTGCTATCAAACCATTCCAGACGCCGTTCTGGATGTAAAGGAAGCGTTTATTAAGTGTTCTCTCAAACTAGTAGTTACCAATACAGCAAAACTTCTAACACTTTAGTAATGTTAAAATTCTGACTAACAAGAGAGGAAAGAAGTTTCTTAAAGAAATGACAGAAATATGAACAGAAGTCTTCATATAGTACACAACACATCTAAATAACATGACACGTAATAAGTCTTCATATAGTACACAACACATCTAAATAACATGACACGTAATAAGTCTTCATATAGTACACAACACATCTAAATAACATGGCACGTAATAAGTCTTCATATAGTACACAACACATCTAAATAACATGACACGTAATAAGTGTTCATATAGTACACAACACATCTAAATAACATGACACGTGATAAGTGTTCATATAGTACACAACACATCTAAATAACATAACACCTAATAAATGTTCATATAGTAAACAACACATCTAAATAACATGACACGTAATAAATCTTCATATAGTACACAACACATCTAAATAACATGGCACGTAATAAGTCTTCATATAGTACACAACATATCTAAATAACATGACACGTAATAAGTCTTCATTAGACGGTACACAACACATCTAAATAACATAACACCTAATAAGTGTTCATATAGTAAACAACACATCTAAATAACATGACACGTAATAAATCTTCATATAGTACACAACACATCTAAATAACATAACACCTAATAAATGTTCATATAGTACACAACACATCTAAATAACATGACACGTAATAAGTCTTCATATAGTAAACAACACACCTAAATAACATGACACGTAATAAGTCTTCATTAGACAGTACACAACACATCTAAATAACATGACACGTAATAAGTCTTCATTAGACGGTACACAACACATCTAAATGACATGACACGTAAATAGAACACTGTTTACTCAGTGCTGTTTGGTCGGAGAGGTAGGTAAACAAAACTATGTTGTGTGTCTGTTTTTTTCAGTTTAGTAGGACAGTTGTGTGTCTGCTTTTTTCAGTTTAGTTGGACAGTTGTGTGTCTGCTTTTTTCAGTTTAGTTGGACAGTTGTGTGTCTGTTTTTTTCAGTTTAGTAGGACAGTTGTGTGTCTGCTTTTTTCAGTTTAGTAGGACATTTGTGCGTCTGCTTTTTTCAGTTCAGTAGAACAGTTGTGTGTCTGCTCTTTTCAGTTTAGTAGGACAGTTGGGGGTCAGCTTTTATCAACTCAGCAGGATATTCATACTTCATCTTATTTAAAACCGCTAGAATTGAGGTGATTGTTGGTAATACACACATGAAACTTATTACACGAGTTCTACAGAACTTTCCTCACGTTTACTGTTCCCCAAGTTCCATCGGACACTCGAAACAAGTCGTACGTGAAGCCTAAATCAACTGCAAAGCTCTGTAGAAGATCTATACAGAAGCCCGAGCAGCATTTGAAGTTCCTGGTGTCCTCAGACATATTAATCCTGCAAAACAAGAGAAGCTTAGTTATAGCCAATAAACTATATTACAACCAAGATGAAACTGCACCAATAGATCTTTTACCACTATCAATATTCCATTAAAAATATTGACAAAACAACGAAAACCTAATATAAAACTGAACAGACAGCTATAGTGTATCGAGCAGGAAAGTACTTGTAGTACTGTAAGTGTTTGTGACGTTCTCTAGCTATTTGTAGTACCACAAGTGTTGTGGATGAATGTTGGTGACATTCTCTAGCTACTTGTAGTACTGTAAGTGTTTGTGACGTACTCTAGCTATTTGTAGTACCACAAGTGTTGTGGATGAATGTTGGTGACGTTCTCTAGCTACTAGTAGTACTGTAAGTGTTGTAGATGAGTGTTGGTGACATTCTCTAGCTACTTGTAGTACTGTAAGTGTTGTAGATGAATGTTGGTGACGTTCTCTAGCTACTAGTAGTACTGTAAGTGTTGTAGATGAGTGTTGATAACGTTCTATAGCTACTTATAGTACTGTAAGTGTTGTAGATGAATGTTGGTGACGTTCTCTAGCTACTTGTAGTACTGTAAGTGTTTGTGACATTCTCTAGCTACTTGTAGTACTGTAAGTGTTGTAGATGAGTGTTGATAACGTTCTATAGCTACTTGTAGTACT